GCTTGGGTCCTGCCCACCCACAGCTTTGGTAGGTTACCCTGTTCCCTGAGGTCTGCTCTTTTCTCCAGGTGTATGCAGTCTGGCGCAGTCCTCTTTCCTGTTGCTCTATCAGGATTAGTTGCACCAACTATATTTTCTAATTGTATATGGTTTTAGGAGGAAGCCTCTCTCTTCTCTCACACCGCCATCTTTAATCCTGGTGATGAGTTCTTTTAAGCCTGGGGGATGAAGCCACCCTACCATACCTCTTCTTCTTCTATTGAATATGTTTAGAAAAAAACAAAATTGAAATAAAAACTAGGAAGTTACCCATCTTCCCCCCTAACACACACAGCATAGAAAACAAAAATGAAATTTTGAATGCACTTGGGAAATAGGTTCAATCAGTAAGTTTCTTTGTCTGTAATGTGCTCTGTAAATCTACCAGTGGGAATAATCATGTTTCTTGGGGACACAATTAGGAAACAGGTGTCTTAAAATTGTCTTAAGAACCAATTCAGATGAAGTATATGAGTGTTCTTCAAAAAGTATTTATTTGAACAAATGAAGGCAATTGAAACTAACCTCTTGCAAGTTATACCGTAAATCAATAAAGAATTGGAAACAAAATGAGGGGATATGGGAGAAAGGCTAGGCCAGGGAAAGTCTGATTACACATTACATCTAAAGAAATGGAAATTAGAGAACGGCCAAGTTAGGCAGCAAGTGGTGATTGGGCTCAAAGCTCTGCCACTGGGAGGGCACTTGATTTGCTTATTCCAGCTGTTTGGAGCTGGTGGCAGAAATACCCACGTGTAGGTGACAAAGCCTCTCTACGTGACCAAACTAAAGTCAGGCTCCTCTGAGACCCCTTTTCAATAAGGCCTCATCCCTGGGCCCTCTCTTCAGCCTACTTAGTTTAGTTTTAGCAAGAATCCTGCTAAGTCAGTTTAGAGAGAATTCTGTACCCTTGATACCTGATCATCCTTGATAACTGATCAAGTTCCTCATCTACCACCTTTGATGTACAAGTCCTTGACCTGTCTTCAGCAGAAATCCTGCTAAGTGGGTTTAGCAAGACTCCCCCTATCCTTGATGTCTGCCCCTAGCCATTTGCCATCCACTCACTCATCCCTCTGTTCACTGGCTGGAAATACCTGGCTCTTTGATGTATTCAGAAATAAGCCTGGTCGCTCTCCCCTATTGCCCTAACCTTGATGCCTATTGCAATGGTCCCAAATAAAGTCTCTCTTATCATTTTAATAAGTGGCAGAATAATTTTTTTTACTTTAAGAGGGGTGAGGGATGGGGAGGACCCAGCACTCTCATGTTGTTGCCTTCAAACATAAGAACCCATCAAACAATCAGCTTTGCTTTTCTTTCATGTTCACCTACCGACCTCTGATGGATTCTGGCTCCCAAAGTTGTTTTCAGGCTGAAAGACTATCCCTCACCATTTCATAATTCTCACTGTGAATTAATAAATTTTGTATTGATTCTGGTGTATATATTACTATGATTAAGTTAAATCGTGAAGCAGTATCCCCAAGGTCAAACACATTGACAAAATTAAGTTTTGGGGATGGCAAAAGAGAGGACCTGAACATGCAATCCAGCCACAGTGAGCACCAGCGCTTAAGAATCCCTGCTGGAGCTTAGATTGCATATCCACCTCAGGAACATGGGCAATCAGAGTTTTTTGACAAGTGAATATGGAGTTAGAGAGGAGGAAATAATGTGGGTCATCCCAATTATTCTGACTGTTGCATTCAGAATTTAATCCTTCTCTCTCACTGCCTATATCCTAAGATTCAGTTATATCTTGTTTTCCTACCGTTCATCTCTCAGCTCTACCCATGGTGTTCTCCTGACCTGGGAATCTTATCAAAATGCAGATTTTGGTTCAGAGGTCCTAGTACAGGTGGGGTCAAGAGTCTGCATTTCTAGAAAGCTCCGGGGTGTGTGCTGGTTCCTAGGGAACCACCCCTCCCCCTTTGAGCACTAGAGGCAAGGCGCCACCATCACTAAAAGTATTGTCACAAGCTCCTAATTGGCCTCCTGCCTCTCTTTCCAATCCATTCTCCACCCAGGCTGCAGGGCCCTAGAGCCCTCAGATCCTGCTCCTGCGTCCCACTCCCCCTGCAGTCTCCCAGTCCTCTCAGGCCCACTTCTCCAGCTCTGATGAATTAGGCTCAGTTTCTACAAGCACCCTGTAATCTCTATTTCTGACTTTTTTCCTACATTCTCCTCATCTGACAATCAGTACTTCCTTCTAATTCCCATCTTCACCCCCTCTCACACTTTCCCAGACTTTTGAAATCCAGCTATATATCCTTCCTCTGTGATTCTATAGCACACTGAAGATCTGCTGTCATTGTGCTTATCAACCTATACAACTACTTCTCTCAAAATTCTACTATAGGATCATGAATGAGGGAGAGAGGTACCTGCATTTTCATTGTATCTCCATCACATTGTTTCACATATAGAAAATGTTGAAAAAAAAATTTATATATATATGTATTATTGAACTGGAAAAAGGAGAGCATTCAGGAATTAGAAACCTGTAGGGGTTCAAGTTTATATCTCATTTGGTCTTCTACATAAAGTCACAATCAGGGTTACTAAATGTTAAGGATAAAATTGATTAGATTGTCAAATTGAACCACAACCTTAAACTTTCTAACTACTTTAGAATAATACTAGGCTTGCAGTTATATTTAAATTTTAGATTACCTAAGCAATACGGAATACATATTTTATTATAAAACAAGGCAGCCCTGACCAGCTGTTCTCTTTTTTTACAGAAGTGCTACAAAATACAAATATAAATTGCAATAAGATATGCAAAATAAGGAAAGCCTGGATTATAAAAAGGCCAAAATGGAATCTTACCAAGAACAAAACAGGTACACATGCTTGACATCAGTCTATGTGGTTCAAGTACAGCAATTCAATGAACCTCAAATATTTTTAATATTTATATATTAAAAAATTTAATTGAAAATCTTGTCACATTTTTCTTTCACTATGCTTTTCTTAACTAGAGATTTGAAAGAATGGGAAAGGAAGTGCTAGGATCCAACTGGCCTTACGGTTTTTTCATTATTATCAGATCCTAAATCTCTCCCTTGATCTGGCTGAGGGTTCTGGTGTAGAAAAGATTACTCCATTCCCATCAAGGTATTATCTGAAATGGAAAAGGTCACCCCTAGGAGCTCACCTGCCTCACCCTGTAAATTCCTCACTGGTAAACAATGCTCCCATTGTCTTCCTTCATTCATGGCTCAGCACCATGCCTGTTAAGGGCCAGCAGCAGCTGCCCAAACTCAGAAAGAATGAAGAGAAAAGAAGAAACAGGGTAAACTGGAAATAGAAAGTGATTCAACGTACCAAAGTGTCTTTTTATATTCTGTGTGTCAGAATACTCAATATATTCATGGGTGTGCATTTATTTTAATACAAATATGATAAACCTATTATCTACTGAGTACCTCTTACATGTTAGAACGTTATACACATTATTTGTGAGAGCCAGTAAAGTTAGGTATTGTTATTCCCCAGCCAAACCGAGGCCCAGAGAGAATAAGTCCCAGCTTTTCTAAGGTCCTAATTCTTTCCTCTGAATCCTGCTGCCTTCGAGAAAGTAAAGCCCCCAAAACAATCTCACTGGAAATTAAAGTGTTTCCCTTTAGTTAAAAAAACAAAGACAGCAGGAAAAAGGAACGCATGTATGAACCGAGTATATGGAGGGATCCAGAGAGCAAATGACCCGCCAAAGTCGACTGCTGTTTCCTCCCCCCACTCCAATAGTTCCCTCCCCGCAGGTGCACCTGTGGCTGTGGTCACCCAGGAAGGTTATAAGCGCCGGGCCGGAGTGCGAACGTGATGGCGGCGACAGGAGGAAGTGCGGGAGAATTTACCGCAAGCGGACTGGAGACGTCAGGGGGTTTTTAAAATACGCATTTTTATCTGTCCTTGTTCATTTCTACTGCCACTTCACCATTCAACTAACTACTTGGTAATAGCCTCGTAATTCTCTGCTCTTCCAACTGGCCTTCCCCAAGCCCTCCTCCCTCTCCGGGAAAATTAAGATTTTGTGTCTTAAATCTTCCAGGATTAAGCGACACATCCTTTACATGGCCTTCCAGGCCCTCCACGTTCTGGTCCCTGCCCTGTGCTCCGGCTTCCTCGTCTGGCCATGCACCCACCTGTTCACCGGGCCCCCGCCACCCTTGGCCCTTGCCTCTAAGCTCCTTCGCACACTCTGTTCGCCTGTCCCTCGCGTTCCTCTTTACCAAGTCCCTCTCACTCGCAGTCTCGGCTTCGATGCGACTTTTTAAGTGAGGCCTGTCCTGACTGATCACCTCCCCTGCAGCCTCCTCACCCACCATCTGATTAATCTACCCGAATGTGCTCCACCAACATTCTCCACTCCACCGAGCGCAATTTGCATTAAATGCTTGCCTGATTAGTTTTAACGTCTGCGAGTGCCACACGGGTTTAGCACTGTGCCTGCTAGGCGCACTGCTGAACTTAAGAACTTGTGAATGAATGAACGGACGGATGGAGGGGTTTCAGCTGAATCTTAGTTGTCACCATCATCATCCTACAATCACAAGTCCTCCAGTCCTATCATCACAACATACAGTCCCCCACTTGTACGCCCATCGGTGAGGCTGGTAAAGCCCTGGCGCAGAGCAGTCTTTCTGGTGCGCCCACCGCGCGCCTCAGGGACTCTGGGGAGGGCCCCGGCACTGCATGGATCGCAGCAGGTCACACGGCCAGGTGTCTCCTAGGCGCCAGGTTCACGCGCATTGGGGGCGGAGGGAAAAGGAGAGAGTGAAGCGACTGCTCCGATTACTTAGCGGGGACCGCGGACGCGCCTTTGCGCTTCGACGTCCGCCGCCGCCCGGGGCGCGACTTCCTCCTGTGGGGGCCGGCGCGCGGGGAGGGGCGGGGCGGAAGACGCCCCGGCCGGGGGGGCCGGGCCGCCCCAATGGGATTCGGTGGCGGGCGGAGGCTGCGACCTGCCCCGGCGCCGCTCTCGGCCGCGGAGGAGGCGGCCCGGCCCGGGCAGCGGCGGCGTCTGCGCGCCCGCCGAGGGGAGGCCGAGCCTGCCAAGCTGGCGCTCGGCGGGGCCATGGTGATCGGCGCCCGCGGCGGAGGCGCGCTGGCGGGGGCTGCCTGGCGGGGCCTCCTGACCCTGCTGCTCTTGGTGTCCGCCGCGCCCCGGCTGCGAGCGGAGGAGCTGGGTGAGTGGAGCGCGCCCACGAGCGGCGGGGCGGGGAGGGACGGAGCGTGGAGGAAGCCGGATCGCCGCCTGCACCTCGCGCAGCCCTGCTCTCTCCCGTCGCCGGCTGCTCGGGTTTAAACTAAGTTACTGCGGTGCGGTTCGCCCCTTGCTCACCACCATACCCCTTCCTAACTCCCAAACAGGGGAAGCAGCTTGGCGCCTCCGCTCTGCCTCACTTGCAGCCCCGCTCACGTTAGTCTCCACGCTTCCTGACCCCGCCGGCCCCGTCCGAAGCGGCCGGGCCCAGGGGTCGCGAGTTGACGACCCCGGCCGCCGTGGGAGAGACGAGTGCGGGGACATTCCAGCCCCGTTTTGGCGGAGCTGCCCGGTAAGCTGGGCGGCCAGGCCCTCCCCGTCGCCTCTCCCCGCGGCGCGGCTGGAATCCGGCGTGTGCGTCTGCGGCTTGCCCGGAATGGTTGGGAAATGCTGCCCCGAGCTTGGCCGCGGAAGCGGGCGGGCAGAGGCGGCAGCTCCTCATTCAGACGAGTGTTGCCTGCTCCCCAACTTCGAATCACGTGCCTTGGCCTCCTCTTGGGTGTTTGAGTGTCGACTGCAGGCCAGGCTGGTCTTTCTCTGGATCTGGTCCTTGGCTTCAGGTTGGACCTAACGAACTCACAAACGAGTTTTCCAGTGCATAGTCCAAAGTTAACCTCCTTAGCAGCCCAGGAAAATCCTTGTTAATTAAGCTCCTTATTGATAGCAAGGGGGTACTTTCTGCTGAGATTTTTCAGTTCTTGTTTCTGTCCTACCTTACTTCTGCCCCTATACAACTGACTTTATTTTAATGGCAATGAGTGTATCCAGAATATTTTGACAATTCCCCCACCCTCACCCCATGTTTTCTAATAAGACAAGAATCCAAACTAAACCAAATACTGGCATTTTTTTTTCACTGAACTGTGGATCCATTACCAGTCTGAAACACTGATGATACTCAGGATGCAGAGCCGTGGTAGTGGTTTCTAAGTTTGCTTACATACCAATTTGTTAAAATTAATTAATTAATAGCAAGCTAAAGTTTAGACAAAATTTGTCTTGGCACTGTAGCATAATGCTAGGTATATCGTAAAAATTTAAGTTAATATGTACGCCTTTATTAAATATGTAGGATTTTGATCATGGGTGTGTTAAGCCTTTAAAAATGTTTCCCAAGTCACTGTTTGAAAATGCACCTTTATGACATCTATGAATTGGTCCTGCAATGAGTCCCTTTGGTAACCCGGCCAAAGCTGTCACCCGTCTTTCCAAATGAAGTGTCAGTTGTTATATGGTCATGCAGGCTGTTTGCTGGGTGTTTTGTAGAGCAGTTCTCTGGGAACAAGTGTGATTGTTTAATTCTTACTGAGTTTCAAATCTGGCCTTTATTGCAGTTGACTGAATATTTGTAAGCCTAGTCAATGAAATTATTAAGATGTTTTCCTCAGTCAGGTGACCCCAAGAAGCTGTAGTATTTCCTTTGTAGGGCTGCTGCTTGCCTATCTGGTGCTTTTTTCTAAATTAATTTTTTTGAAAAAGTATCTACCCTTCCTAGTGTTGATCGCTTGCCTGGCCTGAGTCAGTAAGGCTTGATGCACAGAATTTGGGCTGATTTCTGCCCCTTCTTATACCTTGCTACTCTGGACCCACTTAACTAAAGTTGGATATTTACACAGGTCATTTCATGTGATTTTTAACTTTACATTATATCACATGTAAGTGTTGATTCAATTTGTATAAATCCATAGACTTGAACTTAGGTCTTATTTCCTTGATTATAAATTTTGTAGAATAAAATGCCCTTAATACATGTGATGAATTTATGCTAACTAAAATTTTCTGATTCTCTCCTCACCAAAATATTTGAAAATGGATATTAAATATTTCCTCCTTGTGTTTAAGTATTAGTGAAGAATAAAAATAAGCAGTTAATCTCAGACAAAACTTTTAAATAAGCAGTTAATCTCTGAGGAAACTTTTAAACATGAAATTGGATGCTCAAAAATTACCTTAAAACTCAACTAACTCTAATTTGTTACTATTGAAAGGGCAGTTCTTAAGTCATCACTCCTTTATATTTGGTTAGACATGGGACAGCTGGTACCTGATGTTTGGGGTGAGTGGCTTTTAAAAGCTAACATAAGTTCATTCTAGTACCTTTTGCATTGGTGTGTGCACCCCCCTCAGACTTCATCTGGGAGGTCTGGGATTCTGTTAGCCCTGTATCTGTAAGTTCCTGAGGGGAGCAACTAGATGGTTTTTGTCTTCCTAGCACCTGACAAGGTGCTTAGTAAATGTTTCTTGGGTTGAACTGAACAATCTCTTTATATTTAGGAAATATTTTCAAATTATTTCTTAATTAGTGGAAAATAAGTAATAAAGAGTCTGCTGAAATGCTTTATGAAGGTACCTCTAGTGCTTCCACTAATTAATTTTGTTTAGCAAGCTGAGCTTCCTTGGCATGCTTAGTTCTCTATGTAAGGATGCCTTTGAAATTAAGCTGAAAAGCTGTAGCAGAAGGGAGCATGCCAGCAGAACAATACACACCGTATCTTTTGGCTCTAGCAGATGTCATTTGTAGTACTCAGAAATATTGTTACACCAAATATTTTAGAAAAGAAAGAAGTTACATTAAAGATTTCATTAAATAGATGAGGATGTTATGAAAGCAGGATTTGACCTCTGAATAGTAATCCAAACTGTATTTATTAATTTTTCATTTCATAAGTTGAACCCTTTAACCCTTTCGTATTGAAACAGACTTGAAAATCATATTTTTTTTAAAAAGCCATAACTTGGAAATAATCAAGACATCTGACATTTATAAAGGATCATGTTTTTATTTTTAAGATGTATGGGGAAGTTAAATTAATTGCAGCATTTAGCAAATGTTTCAGTCATGTTAAGGAAGAAACAAAACTTGTTCAGGGAACTATTTCCTATAGAATTTTGAACTTCCTGATATATATGTCCTAAAGCATTAAGTCAGGTCAGCTCGAGTATTAAGCAACCAGTTGTTTTACATTTTTAAGAGGATAATGCACATAACCTATCTAGAATTACATATAGTACATAGTAAGAGCTCACAATAAATGCCTGCTATCTTATTCTTCATTACTGTTCATTACTTTTAATTTTACAAATATGGGGACCCCTTTGTCCTGACTTTCAGACTTCATTCTCTGCTAGACTCCCATGTACTCTGGTCATACTGGCTTTTTTGCTATTTCTCAAAGGTATCAGTCACTCTTCTACCTCAGAGCCTTTGCACATGCTGTTCCCTCTACCTGGAAGATCCTTGCCAAAAATATCCATGTGACTCCTTCCTCCTTTAGCCTTTGTTCAGATGTTGCCTCCTCTGGGAGAAGTTCCTTGACCACCTGTAAATCTCCTGCCATCCTATATTCCCCTTACCTGCTTTCAGTTTACCATCTTCCAACAGAATACATAGTTTTCATTTGTCTGTCTTCCCCCTACAAGAATATAAGGTCCATGAAGAGCTTTGTGCTTTGAACAGGGGCCAGCACATGATGGGTGCTCAGGAGGGAGGGCGTTCAGTAGGGGATACTGCTCAGTGAGGTTGGGTGAAAAGGCAGTGAAAACAGTTCCTGCCTGTTAAAGACTCAGAGCTGCCTCTAGTTGAGAATCAAAACCTGAACAAGACAAAGTAATAAAATTGTATGTCTAGTCCAACTGTTGTTGGTAAATAAAGTCTGAAAATATGGATTTAAAATAGAGGAACTCCTTCTGGTATATTCAAAGACTGGCACTGAGGATGAAAGGGAAAATATTGCCAGACTTTGAGACTGTTTTTTTCTCCTTAGACTGTAGAACAATTTTGTAACTGAAAGTCATGTTCATGTTGTCTTCCAAGATGTTCACTCTCTGCTTTGTGTATATGTATCTATATATAAAGTTGTTTGCTTTTAGGGTGGGGGAGACTTAAAACATTAACTTTAAATGTACTGAGTATCAGAAAGGTAAGGTGTCTTTCTTGGTCCTCATTAAGTTTAATTTATTGATTTAACTTTAAAGGAATGAACTCTGTCAGTGATGAGACTATTTGGAGTTTATTTTTACTGAGAACCACATTTGTTTTTATATTCAACTATTTTCCAACTCAAATTGTGGCCACTGTCATAGCCTTTTTATTCAATGTCCAGCTTATTTACATATTACTGGAGGGGAAAAAGAACAGTCCTTCTTTTCTTTAGTCACAAAATTAAAATCCTTAGAAATTAGTGCCCTGTGGCTCCATTTCATGATTATGTTTAGTGGATATGCCTAAAGGTTGTACATAAATGATTTTTATGGAGCACTCTATTGAAAAAAGAAAACAAAATTCTATTACACTATTATTTCTGACAAAGAACAAGGCCAATAGAAACTTAAAGTTATGAAGTACAGTTAAATGTAAATTGCCGGTGCATAACATTTGCTACAGAGGAAAAGGTAAGCATCTCATCTCTGTGGGTATCACATAAGTTTTAAATGGCTGAGTGGATTTAATTCAGCCTTTTTATTGTTTTTCATGAAAGCCAAGTTCAGCTCAGATTGACATGTGGTTGAGTTCAGCCCGAAGGAGGAAACTGCTGAGACTTAATAGCCCATGGGACCTCTGAAACGTGAGATCTGTTTATTGAATTGCTCCCACTCCAAGGAGTTTAGAATGGAGGCTTCTTATTTTGAGAATTACATGAACCAAGGTTTGCCTTTTTGTTTTTTGCTTCTAGAAAGCCCCTGCTTTGCCAGAATAAAATAGAAGATAGCCTGGCTCTGCAGATGGGCCTTGTACCTGCTGTCAGTACTAGCTCAAAAGGGTCTAAAAATCTTTGTGATACTCTTGCATTTTGGGTAGGAAATTTTTTTTTTCCATCTTCTTTCTTCTTTTCCCTTTTTTATCTTTATTGCCACAGTTGCTGTGCTGTATTATTAACAGACACAATGTTTTTCCCCTAAGATATTCAAAATATGTTTAAGACT